CTGCCCCTGGGTACCTCATGCTTTCAGAGGGCCCACCCAGCATCCTCCTTACTAGTGTTTCCTAACATGGTACCCTTGGACCCTTTCCAGACCATGTCCTGCCCACTGCCCATCTATCTCCTCGCTGTAGTCATCATTCAGTCTGTGATCTTGTACTTGCTCTGAAAAACAGAAGACAAGGTCCTCTGTCTAAGTCAGAGGGAGGGGGCTTACGGAATGGAGGCAAGTTAAAGCCAGTGAAGGAGAGTAGAAAGAGGGATACTGGGGAACAGAAAGCTGAAAAGTGTCACGTGCTTGGAGAACTGAGAAGATGCCCCATCAAGTCTTCCAATAAGGGTCCTACAGTCGCAACTGACTGCAGCTGTCAACACTTTTTATCCATGGTTTTTGCATTTACAGATTCAATGTGCCTTCAAAACATTTGACATAAAAACTGTGCTGGTACAAAACCTATACAGATTTCCATATCATTGTTGTCTGGACAACACACCATACCAACTATTTGCTTAGCATCTGTACTATGGTATGTGGGACAGCATGCATGGGTGCTGTGGATATCACTCTGTATAAATAAAACACTGATTGGCCAGTAGCCAGGCAGGAAGTATAGGTGGGATGAGGAGAGAGGAAAAGGACAGGAAGGAGAGAGACCAGCAAGCCACTGCCATGAAAAGAGAGATGTAAGGTACCGGTAAGCCACGAACCACATGGCTACTTATAGATTAATAGAAATGGGTTAATTTAAGATATAAGTACAGTTAACAAGAAGCCTGAGCCATTAGGCCAAACAGTTTAAATAATATAAGTGTCTATATGTTTATTTTATAAGTAGGCTGTTGGACTGCCGGAGCTTGGCAGGACCTGGAGAGAAGCTCTCCAGCTACACATGGGATTTATGTAAATAATATTATGCCATCTTAAATAAGGAACTTGAGCATATGAGGGATTCCCAACTCCCCATTTTTCTTTTATTTTTGAGATTATAATTTGATTACATAATTTCTCCCCTCTCCCTCTTCCCTGAAACCCCCATCTCCCCTCTGAGAACTTTTCTATCAGCAGGGCGTGTTTAACTGTGTGCATGCGTGTGTGTTCTTGAGCCAAGCCCTAGTGGTTCCTGAAGGACAACTACACAAGCAAAGCGGACAACCAGGTGTATCCGGTACGACATTTCCTAAAAGACAAGGGGATTCCTGAAGTGATGATGTGACGTGATGTGACGTGACGATGCTCAAGAGCAACGTCAGGGAGGAGGAATGAATGCCAGGAAGCAGCAGGGGCTGGGCCAGTTGGGACCAAGATGCTCCTTTGCATGTCTACTTGAAATTAGCTCCTGCTGTTCACATTACTTCTGTATCCTGGAAATACTCACAGCACCACATCATCACACACTGCAACTGCCTACTAGACTCAACACTGTTGCTCCAGCATGAAGCCAGAACAAGACGAAGAGAAGGCAGGAACCTTGCTTCACATCTCATGAATGATAAGGGAGGCGAGTTTCACACCTGTCAGTAACTGTACTCTATTGTTTCAATGTTTCATACCCCAACCACAGCCATCCCTGCTCTTAATTGCCAATATTTTAAATGTAAACAAAACAAGATCTGTTGCAGATAGAGAAATGCCCAAGCTATGGTATTTTAACATTACTTAAAATTACCTTGTTCTAATTTTAGTAGATAATACAAAACCCAAAGTTCTTTCAATAGACTTGAATAAATTAAAGTGACTTAAAATGGGACAACACTAGCTTCATCTAAACCCAACTAAGAGGAAAACAAGCACAGTTGTTAGGAAATTAAAGAAATGTCAACAAAGCTTCTTTTGTTGATGATATATTTAAAAACAAAATAAAACCAACGAAGATAAAAAATGTTGATTGTCAGCTCCTAGAGGGCAGGAGGTGCATTTACTGAACAATCATATTTATCTATGGCTCAGCCGCACAGTAGTTAGGATACAGTATTTACTAAGAGAATCAAGAAAGCATGAGGTGATGCTCTTAAGCAGCTGCAGTACCATTTGTCTTGTTTTCAGGCACTCATTTCATGGTTAGCATCTCACTATCTTGCTGCCACCTGACAAAAGTAAACAGGTAAGTTCTGTAAGATGGGCTCAGATTCATTTTCCTTCACATACACACACAAAAGAATCTTTTTAGTAGTTCACACGCTATCCTGTACAACAGAGGGCATGTATTTTAAAACACAGCTACAGGACATTTAATGCTTATTTTACTTCACAAATGTGAATTTCAAATCAAAATGGGATAGAGCATTTGTGAACTGGGTCACAGTGTCAAATGCTACAGAAGCCTTTAAATTTTGACTGTCTCTAACATCTTAAATTAAATGCTAATGGGCATATTCATCCAACCTAGATTCCTGAATTCTCTGGTTGTCATACTGACAAGCTGTGGACAGTTTTCAAAATTCCTTGACCCCCAAATGGGCAGAATGGGAGGCGAACAGACAGAGAGTGAGCATGCTATAAATACCAAGTCTCTGAAGAGGCATTCATTCTGTGTTCTATGAAACAGAACTAAGCCTTTAAGATCCACACTCTATAATCCACAGACAAAACTTGCAAAGTACCAGGAGGATGCCAGTGACTCAACCTTCTATCATTTGGAAATACTCGATTAGTTGGTCAACATTAAGAAATAGCTTCACATATTTTCATCTGTTCCAAGGAACCAAGCTAACATTTCCAAATCAGAGTCAGGAAGATGAAATACTCCTGTCTTCTTTTAAAGGGGCCCATGAGCAAATCCAGCCAGCCCTCCCCATTCATGGTTAAATTCACAATTGATTTATTATAAGCTAGGCCTGAGGAAAGAGGCAGACAACTGAAGGTATTAGAAATGTCACTGGTGATTTCCTCTTCTTCCCAATTAAAGGTATCATACTCTATACAGGAAAGTGAGCTTCTCATCTCAAGTGCACAGTAGGGAGAAAGAAGCCTGAGAAAATTCTGATTGTTTTCATTAAATATGGTTAACACAGGCAGCAGACGTTAGTACAAGGAACAAAGAAAATGTATTTCCCTTCACAGTAGGAGTTAAGCAAAATGAGATGGTAATAAGATATACAGTAAGGTGATAGATTTAATAAGATGGAAAGGGAAACACATAGACCTTTACTGAAAGGGAAGTTCACTTGATCCCAGGATGGTAGGTCTGGCCAGGTTTTTGAGCTTCTGCTCCCCTAAGCCTCACTGAAAGGAGCAAAGAATAGTCATGGCCTTATGACTATGTGAGGGGAAAATCAAGGATATTTTAAAAGCTAGTGTTGTGGTACCAAATATGACATACTTATTAAAATATTTATGTGAAATTCATACAAAATTTAGAAAGCACATTGCAAAATTTAAGAATATACTGCATTAACAACACATGAAACCAAATGAGTCAATGGAGGAAATGTAAATTGGGAGAATATACAAACTGCATTGATCTCATAAACCTATCGTCGCTCTGTGTCCAGGGAAGTCTGGGATAGTTCCTGCTATTAGCAAAGACTCAGTTGCAGCCATTTTGAAGTTTTTTCAGCAAAGCCAATCACAGTCCTGGTGGCTCTTTTAGTAGTTGAGATACATATTTAAAGGAAAGGAAAGAAGTTGCTAATAAGCTAAGAATTTTATTTAAATGTATCTACATAGATGCTAATTTCTAATGTTTTTATTTGGTATATAGATAGGACCGGTAAACAGTGGGTTCTAATTTATTCTCTTTGTATATTCTTAGTCCTTATTTTATGCATTAGTCCATTAACTACTTAAACTCTAATATGAGATCGGTTCCATCAATGAAAATGGCTGAGACCTCAGCCAGAGAATCTGAGCTTCTGACTGTCTCCTGGGCTATTGAAGATAGTAGAAGGAAAAATGAGCAGAGCCCAAACTAATTTAATCTAGGCATAATTTTGTCAAAATTGATGTTTAAAAACTGGAAATGGCAACTGGGGAAATCTAAGAAGCCTTCACTTCCTAACGTGGTTGTCTCTCTAAGTCAGAACATCAGGGTTGCCCTTCAATATTTAACCTAAGGATCTATCTATTATTGTTATGTGTCCTTGGTGAAAAAGAAACCCAACTTCTATTTGGTTTACAAAATGGGTATCCTCCAACTGAGAGACAAGGCAACTTCTCCCCCTGAGAACAGAAAATACAGGTTGATATCGTGGGACTGAAAACATAGGCCTCCTAGACTTCTGTACAAATAACGTGGCTGCCAGAGGGGGGTTGAAGAAAGCCAGGGTGGATAAAAAAGATCAGCAATGAGTGACAGGTTTTGGTACATGGTTTGACTATGTTTTGCTATACCCTGTTCACTATACTGGTTTCTCTAACTTTTTCCATAAGCAGAAGTGAAAAGAGTAAACTTATACAGAGCGTAAATGTCCTTCAAATGGTCGGTAAGAATGGGAGAACAAACTGGAATTGGATGACACCACTCACTAACAGTTACAGGTAACACAAAAGCTTTTTTTCCCATTAACTTATCCCTTCCTCCAGTACACAGCATAGCTAACCCCTGGATGAGAGTCTCTTGTTATACTCAACAAAATGGATCTACTAGGATTTTATTTTTCTTGCTTCCAACGAAAGGGCTCCCAGCTGGGCAGCCAAGAGTGTAAGGGAAAGCAAAGGTCTTGGGTAAGACACTGGTTGTGCAAGTCCCCCCACAGATAATCAAGAGCTGACAATGTGGACAATACAAGGCTTGGTAGAAAGGCAGGTGCGATGGGCCATTAACTTTCATCCTGAATGTTTACAATACTCATCACTCAGAAAAACAATCACAGAGAGGTCAGTTATTTCCACTTTATATTGTTTTCTATAGAGCAGGTGTTCGATAAATGGTGGCTAATTAGCAAAAACGAAATTCTTAGCTCAATCGTTCAACTACTTGGGGCCACTCTCCAGAAGATGACTTTTAAATTTAAGCTACCACAAAAGTGCTCTTCAATAAACACAATATAGGAGGCACGCTCTACCTGATATCCAAAGAAGACCATCAGCCACATATCCAGCATGACACGAAAGGGATCGGTCAAAAGACTGCACAAAAGTCCATTTGTTCTTCTTGGGGCAGTACCGTTCCACTGTGGGTAGAACCTGGCGCAGTTCATTCCTGCCCCCTACTGCATAGAGGAATTCATCCATGGCACCCAGCACAAAATGCTCCCGGCAGTTTTTCATGGGTGCTATCTCTGCCCAGGAATTACTGCGAGGGTCATAGCGACAGGCAGTCCTCACTGCACATGTCCGCCCAATGGGATGCTCCACTTCCCCTCCTGCTACAAACAGGAAGTCCCCCATGACCGCCACACAGTGATGGCTCCTTCCCACCGGCATGGGAGCCAGCTCACTCCAGTTGGCAATGGCGGCTATGAGAGCGTTCTCCTGATCCACGGGGTTGAAGTACCGAAGTTCCTTGACTTTACAGACCTCACGCTTTTTCCCACCAATGATATAGAGAGTGTCTGACTGGAAGCGCGGTTTGGTCCTGCAGGTCTGCCACACAGGCTGTGCATAGATGCTTTGGTGATACTCCAGGGCCTCATTGACAAGGGCAGTTGCGGTCTCGCTTGCCTGCACCAGGGGATGGGACAGGGCAACCGTGTGGAGAGTATCCACGTCCATTAGGCCAAAGCGGATGTACTGCAGGAGCTCGTCCAAATGCTGGTAATGGCAGTTGTGTTCCAGCCACCTCACAGCTAGCTGAAACAGAAGGAAGTGGGATGAGAGAAGGCACAAGGTAACACGGCAAGTCACTGTTATTCTTTCAGACAGCAACTAAACTCGCTCCTACACAGCAGAACACTGGAATATTCTGGTGCCTAGGCGAGGAATTTTTCCCCCCTTTTTCTGTACCAGCAGAGACACAGAAGAGCTCAAGGCCGCGCTGTTGGAGTGAGAGCGAGTGTTAAGTAGCACTCTCAGAACTTATGACAACTTTTAGGATGAACAATAATTGCTTTTCAAAGAACAAAAATACTGTGAAACAGCCCTTCATCTGCACTGAAGCCCTGTCACCTGACCACCAGGAAAAGCCCATGGTGGGCAGTGGTGCCATCACAGCTCAGCTAATGTACGTCAACCATGAACGAAGGTGCACTGTCAATACGAGTAACGTGAGAAAACAGGTGATCACCTGAGAGCGGGCGATCACTTGAGAGAAAATCAATATGGCACTAGAAGAATGATTTAGAAAAAAAGAACCCCCCCCCCGCTTTGGTAGAGACAGCAATCAGGAGGAAGCGAGAAGAAAGGAACAATGCAGCTTCCATAATTTTTCCCTCGCTCTTACTTTTCACCATGACCGTTGCCATTTGCAATGTAAGATGCCGGTGGTTGGTTAAGAACCATTTCCACAAACAGGAGACAGGAGAATTTATCTCTGTACTATGGAGACAAATGTTAATTTTTTTTTTTTTTATCCAAATGTGACTTGATATTTGGGTGTGTTAAATCATCCTACACACTAACATAAACTAGGATACTGAGTATATCCAGTTGACATATCTGACATTGAAAATTCCTAGCAGTATCCGTATGAAACCAAGTCTCCTAGAAAATACGAAACTGGAACTAAAGGGCTTGGCAGGGGAAAGGAATGAATTTGAATACTGGATTTAACTGCTTGTGTGCTTTCTGTCTCGTGGCACTGCGGTTTGGGTCTTTCCTGTTTAGGTGATGCATGGTCTACAGAAGGACAAAGGAGGAGGTGTGCCACCCTCAGACCATTACTCCCTGGTGAAATGAACTGGGCTTGAACTGGTATAAAGAATTCTCACAAAGTCTCTAAGGGACTGGATGATTCCAGAATGCCAGGGTTTCTTTATGCACTTGACAAAGGGCTCCAAAGGGCGAAGTGCACTGTGGGCTTGTCCTCTCACCTGGAAAAAGTAAGTGGGGGAAGAGGAGCTACTTCTGTTATGCAATGAGTGCCTCTCTTAATTAACTACTGTGTAATTAAATGAAATGAAACAAAGAACCCCATTGGGTACCAATGAGGTAGAGACCAGCAAGGGAAGATAGACAACACTCTATAGATGTTTTTTAATAGAAGAGTGCATTTTCATTTAAATAAGATATCAGAGAAACTTTTTTGTATGATAGCATTGGCACTAATCAAAGTTGCAAGAGAAACACATACCTTATCTTTCACCCAGTCTCGGCTAGTATGAAGAACGTTCTCACATGTGGCATCCTATTTCCTCTCCATCTCGGTTTTAGAAGTTTTGAGAGATGGGTCCTCCCATTATTCCCATATGGAGGAAACTCAGTAACTCATAAATGGCTTTTTGTTTGTTGCTCACAGAGCTTTCAAACATTCTCAGAAGTAATGTGACCCCACTAAAAGTTGTTTCTCAGGCACCAAGTATGTTTTCTCACACACAACCTACTTCTCCCGATATGAGTAGCTGCAGTTGATGAGGTTTTGCTGTGAACCATTTTATCAGCATCCATCCAGCTCTGCATGCCTTGTATAGAAACTACAGGAACCAGCACTGGGCAAACACCAGATAAATGTTCAAGTCTCCAAAGCCTCGTTTTCAGCATGGCACTGCCTACTTAGTTAGTTCTTTCTCTCTCCATAAGTCAGTTTTTCCTAAGCCACAATCAGTCTTCCATGTCACCTCCAAATATACAGTTTATCTTTCTCTTTCCAGGACATGATGTCACTATTGGCATGAAAGGTATACAAGCTTCAGCTCTGCTTGGCTTTTAGGAACTCTCAATTCAAACTGGCAACGAACCAGTGGTCACTGGCTTTCCCTTCCCATGCCATGTTACATTATCTTCTGAAGCTTTCCATTCCCCAGTACTATATATTAATACTATACAGTAGTCTGTGGGCCTATATTAGCTTGGTTTTGAGATTATTTTTATTTCTGTATATAATTTTTACACTTCTATAATGTATTGACATTTTCAGAACATACAAGCCTGCTGTCCATGAGTTCATCTAGATTAAAAGGAAATGTAATATACAATAACTCTTCTGCTGTCAACTTCAAACCTCACTTGCACATGAGTTACCCAGTTTTCTGGTTCAAATGTAGATTCTGTCTTAGTAGCTAGAGTGGTGGGATCAGGCATCTACCTTTCTAACAAACCCTAGATGCTGCACAGGCCAACACCACTGTCTCTATCTAGATGCCACACAGGTCAATGCCTCTGTTCTTACGTTCTTTTCACTGTGATAAAATACCTGTCAGAAGCAACTTAAAGGAAGAGAGATTCACTTTGGCTCACAGTCTTAGAAGATTATAGTCCATGAAGACTAGGAAAGCAGAGCACAGAAAGTAGCCTCTATGGTGATTGTGAGGCACAATGTGGTAGCCAGTCAGAAAGCTGAGCCTGAGACCAGAAGTGGTAGTTGATAGTCTTCAAAAATCCACTCCCAGTGAACTACCTCTGCCAGCAGGTCCACCTCTAAATATTCCACAGCCTCCTAAATCACCAGCTGGTGACCAAGTCTTCAAACATGAGTCTGCAGAGGATACTTCACATCAAACCATAACCGTGACTCTGCTGTCTTTATTTTCTATTCAAAAATGTAAAGAAGAAAATCCCACTGAAACAAGCAATAATTCATGGTTAGCCACATAATGAGAGACCTAGGAAAGACAAAACAATAAGCCACCACAAAATCACAGCTACGCTGTGAGCCTCAGGAGAACACTATTCCCTGAAATGCTGAGTAAAGGGAGGATCATGGAGGGATCTTGAAACTTGTTTAGAGAGCTGAGAGACCATAGTATGCATCTCTGAAGCACAACAGAGTAAGACCCCACTTAGCTGTGCTGCATATTTTATAGGCTATATGTAAAAGAAGGGTATCCTGGACAATGGCAGCTTTCAAAATGACGTGGCATTGAGGAAGTACCATCATAGGAGGCTAGAACTCTCTTTTTCTTTTGTCTAGCCTGCCAACATCCTCATCACTGTAACCTCCAGTATTGAAGGAGAAGAAAATGGAGCATATAACCATAGTCTTATCTCTCATCTTTTTGTTTAGAGAGCCAACATGTATAAAAGAAACTATAGATTCACTTTGGGAACTCACCATCAATAGTGTTTAGGGAAAATTACCAATAGGCAAGATTTTGTCAAAACCTTTTTGGCATCATGCATTCTCATGCCCAGGAATAATGGGGGATTCTCCTGTGTGCATTCTACCTACCTCTGTTCAAACAACTCTATCAGGAATTGTCCCATCTAAAACTACTAGGAGCTTAGTTCAACCTCAGCTAATCTGTCTCAGCCTTGGGTCTTAGATAAGGACAGTGCCTGGTTCGTGATGCTATGAATATTTGCTATATGGATAGGATTTAATAACAGCTATTTTTAGTGTTTCTTCTAGTTTTTTTAGTCATTATCAGTCCTTTATTCCTTTATATTTATTTAATTTATCTATCCACTATAGGCTTCCATTGATATTTTATTATCTTACCTTTATGGCTTTCCTATAAGGCCTCTACAAGCTCTGAAAATTCCACCTTGCAGCACATGGTACATGCATGTTGGATATATAAAGCCTTTGCCCTGCTCCTTGCATGCTGGATGCTTAACACTGGTATTTGAGGTTCTTGACAGAGCACTGAACAGTACAATCTTTTAAGCTTTCAAATTAATAATGAAACTTTCAGGTGAGACTAAAGTTTTGGTTTCAGTGTCTTAATTTTACAGGTATAAACTGAATCCAGACAGATGTAAACTGAAACCTTTTAAATACTTAGCACAAACATCAAAACTAGAAATCCATTGTTCAAATTACACAATGTATCTGCTTATTATATTACTTGTCATTATTTTCTCATCAATAACTTTAAAATAGAACCCAAACAAATATGCTCTATATAATATGTAATTCGAATGACTGCAAACACTACAGACAAGAAAAATAAAGTATACTTGTAAATAACTATACTTTGCTCCAGAACATGTTGACAGTATTTTCAGCAAATCTCATGAGTTTCTTCAAAAATAAACATCATACACTTAAATATACCAATTGAAGACTTTGCAGGTGAAGAGCAAACACTCAGGGATAGGACATGCTTTTGTGTCTATATTGTTCCACATTCTTACAGAAATATATATATTTTAATGTCAAGTCATTCCTTGTGAACTCAACTGAGATCAAAGATAGGTGGAAATGGAATCCTTTCCCTTTGTTTTCCTCAGCATTTCTCTTCTGAGTGCTACTTTAGGGAGTAGAATATAGGACATATGTATATACACAATGCTAAATTCAATAGTACATAATTCTAAACTCTATATATTTTGTTTTAAATTAATTTCTGCAGTTTGCTCACATATATGTCAAGCATATCACATGAACAAATGTTCTATTCCTAACATCAAGTCCTCAAGTTATGCCCTTTACTGCTCATGTTGGATACACTTAGAAGCTGCAATGTTGAAATCTAATATTCTTGGTCCTTTAAAAAAAAGTAGAATGTATGTGTATTATAAAATTTGATCCCAAAGCAATAAAAAAGTACAAATTCTTAGTCTCAGAAGTCTAGAAAATTTATTAATTATAAAGTCATCCCCAACTCCAAAAGACACATCGGTGTGCTCTTTCACAGAGAGAAGTATTTTACATGTGACAGGTGTGAGGGACACATGCCCTTAAAATGAAGGTTCGTAGGAGGGGTGTTCACGAGGCCCCTCCCTCCCTAGGTTTCTCATGGCAGTTAGTGGCT